CCTGAAGCTTTTCACCAACCACCAGAATCCCGAAATTTCACACCAGGCTTCAGTATCCCGAAACATCAAACCAGACACCAGAATCTCGAAGCTTTTCATCAGACACAAGGACTATGAAATGTTGTTTTTAACAAAATGTATATGACTGTTAACATTGTCTTGTAACCTCATATACAGTCAGGCCACGTTAATCCCAACAGTGCCGTTTTTCATAAAAAAAATGTCCGGATAGTAATGTATTGACCATTTGGATTTGATTGATCAATCAATGATATTTTGACGAATCCAGGCAATTAATATATTTTAATAATGTATTGCCGTTACACAATAAAGGGTCGAGACCATCAAAACGCAGTGGTGTTGCGAGGGACTACTGAATCACAGCGTGGAAAATTTCCTCGCGAGGGAACGCGGTCGCGTCGCGAGGAAACGCTTAGGATATGCCGTTAGAAACGACATAAGTATCGCCAGAGACCGCGTTATTATCGCAACGACTTCATTTTTTTCATGAGGCGTGTACCTCGATGGGACACTGGGAATGTATCCTAAGGGAAGACTGAAGGATTGAGAGCAACGATGTGATGCTGTGGTAATAGACTGTTGCGTCACCATGGTAATGTTAACGCTGCTATAAAAAGGTGTATAAGCAGTTGTGATGTCAGGAACATAGGCTGTAGTAACCAGATACATGTGGATTGATCTGACCAAAGTATTTAATTTACTATCATGGAAATTTGGTTGAAGTTGTTGTACAATTGGAGAGTTGACCAATATGTCTTCACTAACACATCGGACACGATTAACAAGTGATGAACAAGCACATTTCAATATGAAAAACAGTACGGAATCTGTCAAGTATAAAGGATGTATTTGTATGAACAACAGCATCACCTTTGGTGCCCCTGTGGAAAATATTAGGTTCAACATAACTTTGCATCCATTTTGATATATCACTACACAGGGTCAACATTAGATTAAAGCTATGTCCCGGAGAAGATCTAATTTTGATATGAAGAAGAACTCCATTTCGTCTGAAATTCGGACCCAATGAAGTAGGCGATACACGAACCTGATTAACATATAGACCTGCTTCATTCACTGCCAGGAGTGAGTGAGTTGAATCTTACGTCACTCTTAGCAATTTTCAGCCTTATCACGGCGGGGAACACTAGAAATGGGCTTCACACATTGTACCCATGTTGGGAATCAAACCCGGGTCTTCGGCGTGACGAGCGAACGCTTTAACCACAAGGCTTCCTCATCGTTTTGCTTTAAAGTAAGGGTAGGAGGGAACGGAAAATATTATGCTTCAGTGACTGTGAGACATTCTAGGACAGCCTGAACAAGGGTTTAGTTGTATACACCGTTTTGACATTGTGCCAAGGAAGACAAGCCGACGTGAGTTCGAATCTCAGATCCACCCTGATTTTGAAAACACCGCCGTCATTGGTTACAGTGTCAAGTCACGTGCTACTTGAATACGTTCCCCAACTGTTTCATCAATAAATTATTACTGTAGATCCCGTAGAACACCATGTACGGCGCCTGGTTGATGACATGAACGTTTATCGTCACACGACAAACAAACAAAAGTCTTGTACTTGTCATATGTGAGGGTTACCGAGCTGGGTTTGAAAAGAAGTTTAGGCACATTACGTATCTCTGGCTGAGTCAAACAACACCTGACTGAGTCAAACAACACCTGACTGAGTGAGTTGAACTGTTACAATTTAACTTCAACTTAACTCTCAGCTCACACCATATCATTTCAGTCAAGGACCAGACAAATGACACATACCGATATTCAAAGGTTTGGTGAAGCCAGCTACCAGAGGGGTATATTGTTGTTAAGGGGCCATAATAGGGCATATTCTTGGATTCAAACCACGACCTGTGGCATTCAGCACGTTGTATAGACAAACCAGGGAGTGAGAATGATTTAACGCCGCTTTAAGCAAATTCAATATCACGGCGTGGGACACCAGAAATGGGTTTTACACATTGTACCCATGTCTGGAATCGACCCCGGGGCCTTCAGCGTGACAAGCGAATAATTTAACCACTAGCTAGTCTACCCCACCGACCCTATAGCCGAACCAAAGATACGATACACTCTTTCATAATTACAACATATCTATTTTATCTCACCCTTTTCTATTGTCCCCCGCCGCGATACTGCTGGAATGTATCTAAAAGTGGCGTACAACCATACTCACTCACTGTTCCATTTCGGATATTACAATCCTGTTATTCAACAGGGATTTTGCAACACTGCCACTCTAAAGGAGATGCTTCATGAACTGATTTCAAACAAACTACTACAAACCATCTGTATCAGAGGGGTAAACAGATTCCAATAGTAGTGTTAACCGTGTCGATGGCTACACAGCAGAAACGCGCAGTGTCAGAAAAGTGGCTAAAACTCTTGAAATTTGTTTGGAGCGTTAGTAGAATACCTTTTTGCAAGTTATATAATATTTACCAGTGGTAAAGAATGTATTTAAACCTATGAAGGGTGATTGATCGAGAAAGGTAATGCTCATACACTGTGTTGTGTTGACAATAGCATGCAGTCATCACTGGAATCGTCTTTGGGATACCCGATTCAAACCCGGACATGATCATTGGTTTGACACGAACATAACAACTGTCTTGAGATCATATGACAATGGGGCGGTGTGGTAGCCTAGTGGTTAAAGCGTTGGCTCGTCACGCCGAAGACCCGGGTTCGAATCCCCACATGGCTACAATCTGTGAAGCCCATTTCTTCTGTCCCCCGCAGTAATGTTGCTGGAATATTGATAAAAAGCGGCGTAAAACCAAACTCAGTCAGTCATATGACAATGACAGTTGTTTGCGTACTGTGTGGACAATTCACAAAAAAGAAACATTTCAAAGCAGTGTAAAACCCAACTCACTCACTCACACAAACATTACCTTGGTTTTATGCTGTGTTCCATCCCTCAGATCGGCTGGCGATGAACAACCCATGCACGTCTTGTCTTCCCATTGTGAGATCAGCGTAATCCTACATGAGGTCATGAGATCAGTATCCGAGAACATCAACACAAGGCCAGCACAGACACAGATAGCATCGTGAAGTCATACCAAATATTCATTCAAGTCCATTCACATACTCGTATGACAATATTGAAAGTTCAGTCCAAACAATATGACAAACAAATTCGTATGATGCCGGAATTGTCACACCTGAATGTTTCACCTTACTGCAAAACAACACGCCTGAACGCTGTCAAATTGTCCATTGGCAATCCATTCATGAAATACCGTTTCAATCCAATACGTCGAATACGTCCAGTACGGAGACGTAAGTATCCAACTCTAGCACCATCTGATCTGAAATCGGTTAAATGGATTCTTCTTTCCCACCGCCTAACGACAATCTACCTGTAATAACGTTAACTCCCGTCTTCTACCTGTAGCGTTCAGCGTCGTACCACCTCTACTTTATCCACAGCCAGAGAGAAGCCCAGCCACTAGTGGGAGTGAAGCCTCGGCGTGTACACCCCCTATAGCACCTGACCCCCCAACACGCGTGTGTACGGCGTAGTCGCGCGATTCCCCTGTTGTTCAGTCCTATACCAGACGCCATATTCATTACCATAGTGATACGAGTCAATCTAAATGTCTTTCTCGGGTTTATTTTGTAGCAGATATACCTCTTTTTACAAGGATAATCATCTGTGAGTACCAATTTTTTTCGTCGTACCGAATTTCATTGTAGAGAGTGTGGCAAAAGGTATCCGTTTCTGTGCTGTTATTCTAAGCACTGGAAACACGCTTTTAACTCGATTTTGTTTCTCTTTTTATTACTTAAACGTAGAAAACGGTTTTAGGGGAATTGAGGACAAAAACGCCAGCACGCTCAAAGTAACCATTCCCTAGGCTGTTAAACTATTCAACTGTTTCAACAACGAGTAAAACGTTTACATTTGTGTTTGATCGAACTATTTTTTACGTGTTTCATGAGTTAACAATTATAAATATGTAGATAGCGTTTCAATAGTTTCCAACTCTTGTCTTCAGTTACATATGTTTAAATATTTATATGGTACATACAGCGACATCGCTTGTAGAGTGATTTTGTTACGGATGCAGATTGTAGAAGCTGCTGCAGCTCCATCACGTGACTCGTGGATGTTAACTGCACAATGACGTAGATTTATACTATAATAACACACAAAGATGTGCGCATTGCTAGAGTTGTACATACTTTTCATGAACACTCTATGCCAGCCACGAGTAAAGCGAGAATAAGTTCTGTTTAGAAAAGAGGAACTTTCTGCCATTATAAATACGCAATTTCCGGTTCAAGCGCTATGTAATTGACCACGTGGAGTTAGGCTTCTCAGGGTATTGAATGAGATATGTGTTTATTCAGCTCGGAAAATAACAGCAGTATGTATTTGGCGTAGTAAATTCACACGTGCCATGAATAGTATGAAAATATATCATAGAATATTTATCATGATCGAATTGTTTTCAGTACACTGTTTACGTAAACGTTGTTTGGAACGCGTTGTAATTGTAACTGCACCAGATGACACAGACGGAGCAAGGAACAATAAAATCAACAAAACCCCCTGAATGCATTAATACAACTGAGTAAATAAGATAAACGTCACTTCGAGCACTATTCCTCCCCTATAAACTGACTGACTGACTGACTGAGATTGGTTTTACGCCGCTTTTAGCAATATTCCAGCAACATCACGGCGGAGGACACCAGAAATGGGCTTCACACATTGTACCCATGTGGGGATTCGAACCCGGGTCTTTGGCGTGACGAGCCAACGCTTTAACCACTAGGTTACCCCACCGCCCCCCCTATAAACTGGGAACATTTGAAAAAGGTTTCACTCATGACACCAATTTTGGAATCGAAACTGGTCTCAGGGGGCGGGGCGGTAGCCTAGTGGTTAAAGCGTTTGCTCGTCACGCCGAAAACCCGGGTTCCATTCCCTACATGGATACAATGTGTGATGCCCATTTCTTCTGTCCCCTGCTGTGATAATGCTGGAATATTGGTAAAAGCGACTTAAAACTAAACCCAGTCTCATCACATGTATTACATCTCCATGATTTCGGCTCAAAAGAAGTTAAGGACCGCACGACTCTTTCAAAATATTTATCTAAATAATATGGAGACAGAAAACCCTGGATAAGAGAGGATGGATACAACTAAGCGCCGGTATGTACACGCCTTTAGGGGACATGGCTCTCTGATACGGTATCTGTGGCATTACACCGGGTTCGATAATATATGAACGTGTACTTGTATGGGTGAAATGATGTATAACCCTTTGCAATTAACATGGCATGTACATGCTGGTGCTTGTGTATATATATCAAGTTCTAGATTACAGTTTTCAGTACAAAAACGTGATTGGATCTCGTATTTTTTTTAAACGCCTGCAACTGGGGTTTGCTATGGAATTTGAAACTGGAGGAGAATATATCTTGATCGCCAAATATTTTCCTTGAGATGGTTTGAGCATGTAAGCATGTGCGCGCAAACACCACCAAGAATAGAAGAACATCGGTGTTATTGCAATCGACATCAATAAAATATTGCCACCTGTTCCTTAAAGAATATAAACCTGCAATTTTAAGTAATGTATTCTCACTTTTTGTCACTGATTTCTGGGTTATTGTAACGCAGGTGATTTTAGTATACAGTGCCATTCATGTGTTCTTTCTACACAGCCCCTGAGAACTCAAAGCATGCATGCCTAGCAGTCTGTTAAAAAAACTCCTCAATACATCTACAACGGTTGGACCCGACCCTTCCTCAGATAAACTATTCGCTGCGTTTCGAGTTGCGCGAGCACCTGCTTTATATGATAAGAAGAGAGGCATAGTCAGTGCATCTTCGTGGGTTATGAAGAATATTAAATGTTGTCCATTATTCTGGTTCCTGTCTCTATTGGACGGTAGGGCGTGGTCCTGCGAACAGCGGACAGGTCAACGTTGGTCACTTTGGGTGACCGTTTCCGGCGAGTTGATTCCTGTAAGTTTCTGAGCTTTGGCCCTGCTCCTCACTGAAGCTCATAGTGTGTCCTTTGGGGGCAAGTGACTTTGTTCAAAGTAGTTGATCCAGCAGTCCATGGGTACCCGGTAGTGTTACATGGTAATGTGAGTGTTATCCTTCTGGTTCTTCACAGACTGGTTGGTATGAACTCTCCCCATGAAGCTGAAAATGCAAAATCGACTGCCCACGTATCCATGGACTGGATTAATTATGTAGCTCTGATCTGGTGTGGAAATATAGCGCAATGCTATGGTCTTATCATTGTTATACACCTGGTTGCCGTGGCATCATGTCTGAAACTAATTGAGAAGAAATAGCACTGAAACTCACCGCACATCAAGTCGAACACATTCTGCAAGTACATGTAGGTCAAAAGAAGTGACATAACTTTATTTGCATACATAATTCAAAAGAAGTTAAGGGTCACGGGGTTCTTTAATGATACAATGGTATAAAGGTAGTTAAGGACAGGTTGATTCTACCATATTAAACAAAGCAATATGAGAGAACTCCTGTTGTGTATTAGTGGGTCGTGCTAAATGGATCATGCAGCATGATAGGGAATCATTTACCAAACTACCCGCGGTGTCAGGACAAAAGTGTCACTCACCCACTCACCCACTCGCCCACTCACTCATTCACTCACTCACTCACTCACTCACTCACTCACTCACTCACTCACTCACTCACTCACTCACTCACGCACGCACTCGCTCACCCACTCACTCACTCGCCCACTCACTCACTCACTCACTCACTCACTCACTCACTCACTCACTCACTCACTCACGCACGCACGCACGCAATCGCTCACCCACTCACCCACTCACGCACGCACTCGCTCACTCACTCACTCATGCACCACTAACTTACACAGAAGCTCCAGCCCCCGTTGTCCAACATATACCGACCTTCCACCAAAACATCAATAAACTTCAACTCTAAGATCATTTAACTCGTCAACTTTATTTCCATCTGTTTACTCGTTGTTCAATGAACCCAGCAGAGACACTCTGGCTGTAACATCAGACGTTTTTCTCCTGCTGAGTGACACAGTCGACGAAATGCAGTAGTTTACAGATTCCGCAGTAGCTAACAAGTGAGAGGGTTGCCGGGTGTAAATATATCACCGCGAGAACAGATGCTACAGAAGGTGGGGAGGAGCAGGTAGCGGCTGTTGATGCTAGCCTCGGTTCACCAGAACTATAAACATGACGCTAACAGAACGTGTACATGGTGCGGATGATAGCGACGCTTCATATATTGAGATATTCTTTTTAAAACTAAGCATTCTGAAAAAAATATCTCTTCCGAGTTAAATATTTGGGATATCGCCGTATTGCATGTCTGGGAACTTCGGACAAAATTAGTTTCTAATTTACCCATTGCTTCAGTAACTAAAGCGACAAGTTATACTTGAATAGTAAAATGGGTTTAAAATCCCTTTATGTTAGACAAAATTCTATGTTGTAATGAGGAGTCATATATATGTTGTATGAAGAGCCAGATATATGTTGTAATGAGAGTCAGATATATGTTGCAAATGAGGAGTCAGATATATGTTGCAAATGAGGAGTCAGATATCACAACATAGATCTGACTCCTCATTACAACATATATCTGACTCCTCATTACAACATATATCTGGCTCTTTATTACAACATATATCTGACTCCTCATTACAACATATAACTGACTCCTCATTGCAACCTACATCTGGCTCCTCATTTGCAACCTATATCTGACTCCTCATTGCAACAGAGATCTGACTCTCATTACAACCTATATCTGAGTCCTCATTACAACATATATCTGACTCTCATTACCACATATATCTGACTCTCATTACAACATATATTTGACTCCTCATTACAATATATATCTAACTCTCATTACAACACATATCTGAGTCCTTATTACAACATATATCTGACTCTCATTAAACATAGATCTGACTCCTCATTGCAACATAGATCTGACTCTCATTACAACATATATCTGAGTCCTCATTACAACATAGAACTGAGTCCGCATTACAACATAGATCTGACTCCTCATTTGCAACATAGATCTGACTCTCATTACAACATAGATCTGAGTCCTCATTACAACATAGATCTGACTCCTCATTACAACATATATCTGACTCCTCATTGCAACATAGATCTGACTCCTCATTACAACATAGATCTGACTCCTCATTTGCCAACATAGATCTGACTCCTCATTGCAACCAGTATATGGTCTCTGTTGCAACATATATCTGACTCCTCATTACAACGTATATCTGACTCCCCATTACAACATAGATCTGACTCTCAATACAACATAGATCTGACTCCTCATTACAACATAGATCTGACTCCTCATTACAACATAGATCTGACTCCTCATTACAACATATATCCGATTCCTCATTACAACGTATATCTGACTCCTCATTACAACATATATCTGACTCTTCATTACAACGTATATCTGACTCCCCATTACAACATATATCTGACTCTCACCTCACCACAGATCTGACTCTCATTAAACATAGATCTGACTCCTCATTACATCATATATCTGACTCCTTATTTGCAACATATATCTGACTCCTCATTACAACGTATATCTGACTCCTCATCACACCATAGATCTGACTCTCATTAAACATCGATCTGACTCTTCATTACAACATATATCTGAGTCATCATTACAACATATATCTGACTCCTCATTACAACATATATCTGACTCTCATTAAACATGGATCTGACTCCTCATTGCAACATAGATCTGACTCTCATTACAACATATATCTGAGTCCTCATTACAACATAGATCTGACTCCTCATTACAACATAGATCTGACTCCTCATTTGCAACATAGATCTGACTCTCATTACAACATATATCTGAGTTCTCATTACAACATAGATCTGACTCCTCATTACAACATAGATCTGACTCCTCATTAAACATAGATCTGACTCCTCATTACAACATAGATCTGACTCCTCATTTGCAACATAGATCTGACTCCTCATTGCAACATATATCTGACTCCTCATTACAACATATATCTGACTCCCCATTACAACATAGATCTGACTCTCAATACAACATAGATCTGACTCCTCATTACAACATAGATCTGACTCCTCATTACAACATAGATCTGACTCCTCATTACAACATAGATCTGACTCCTCATTACAACATATATCTGACTCCTCATTACAGCGTATATCTGACTCCTCATTACAACATATATCTGACTCCTCATTACAACGTATATCTGACTCCTCATCACACCACAGATCTGACTCTCATTAAACATAGATCTGACTCCTCATTACAACATATATCTGACTCCTCATTTGCAACATATATCTGAGTCCTCATTACAACGTATATCTGACTCCTCATCACACCATAGATCTGACTCTCATTAAACATCGATCTGACTCCTCATTACAACATATATCTGACTCCTCATTACAACATATATCTGACTCCTCATTACAACGCATACATTACAATATCTGACATAGATCTGACTCTCATTACAACAACATATATCTGACTCCTCAATTACAACATATATCTGACTCCTCATTACAACATCGATCTGACTCTCATTAAACATCGATCTGACTCCTCATTACAACATAGATCTGACTCGCCTCATTACAACAAAAACTGACTCCAGTGCAATTAATATCTATACCTTCACTACAACTCACATAAGAATTTACCAGGACTGAAATCTGTCTTCACGACAACGGATCACTGTTTTCTCCATAAGGTACTATCTGACGTCACCACAGCCGATGTAACTGACTTGACTACAGCTGATGTCTTACTTCACTACAACTGATATGCAGCTTCCACAATGTGATATCAACTTCAATAAAGCCGAAACATATGTGACGTCTCTACATCTGATATCCACAGTTCACATCTGACTTGACCAGAGACGACGATCTGACTTCAAAACAGCTGGTATCTGATTTCCCTACACATGAAATGTAAC